TGAGAATGATGTACAAATGCGCTTTACACAATTGATGTGTGTATGGATTGCGATAACAGTTGTATGAGCCCCTAATAAAATGTTTAAAAAACAGGGCCCAGGTTTTTATCAGCATGTATGAACTGAACCTTGTTATTTATGAGCAGTCCATGCATCAACTATTCTCTCTAACCAAAAGATAAGCAATTCTGTCACTAACCGCATCCTCAGAGCAGAACACTGTAGACCAAAGTCTTAATCATGTCCTTTGAAATTTGGAAGAACAGAAGTGGTCTTTATTCAAGTCTCTGTGTGTTGCAAAAATAAGGTAAGTACAGTGAGAGGGCTGATTTCAAGAAAAGCCAAGTACTCACAGATCTTTCTGTGCAGTCATTTCTGCTTGGCAGTTGGGAGGGTCTGGGAAAAGCTGCTTTCGACTGCTCTGAACCACATTTTCCTCACACGTGCCTGCAGATTAAAGCCTGCAGACACTTGAGCAAGACCACATTGTTCTCATAGTGCCTGATTGAGCAGAATTGTGTCATCCGAAATTGAACATTGTAGGATTTCTCATAATGCTTCGTGGGTGCCTCTAAAGTTTGGGGTTTTTTCTTCTTTTTTAACAGCTTTATTAGCACTACATCCGCATGTCATACAATTCATTAATTCTATCGTATCAAGAAGAGTTGTACAATTATCACATTCAGTTCTAGGATATTTTCTTCTTCCATGTACTCATTTTTATTCATGTGATCTTTTTCTTTTTTTCTAATTGTGGCAAAATATACACAACAAAACATTATCCAAATCCACAACTTATTTTCTTATTGATGATCAAGGAGCAGGTGTTACCTTTAGAGGCCATAGTCTCCTCAGTACCCATTTCGTGTTCTATGACAGGTTCTTAGCTGCCTAGCCATAGAGAAGAACTATTCTGAGTATGCTTTGGGCCTACTAACAACACTAGGAAATAAAATAGTGCTGTTAGGTGTTCGAAGTGTGATTTTTATTTACTCCCTTTGATGTGGAAGTACATATGTGGTATCGAAAGGGCTGTTTGAGGGCTTATAAATTGCGATTAAATAATGTCAAGCCAATCGAGAAAAATCTATAAAGTATGCTTGTAATATGATGTGCATTATGTGATTTTCAGTTTAATGTGCTTTGTTTGTTTGTTTCATTTGGTTGTGCTTTTCTTTCAGGAGAAAGCTTTGCAGAATTCAGATGCACGGGAACTGATGATGGATTCACCGACTTTAAAACAGCAGAGAGCATATCACCCTTAGAACCTCCAGCAAAAGAAAAGACTTTTCCTACATCCTTTCCTTCGGGAACTGTGCAGACACAGAAACCACAAACACATGTGAAAAATCCTCTGAATTTAGCAGACCTAGATATGTTTTCCTCGGTTAGTTGCAGCAACGAGAAACCAGTATCTGTTTCAGCTGCATTTAGTGCATCAAAGTCTGTCTCCACGCGAGCACAGCCAACAGACTCTGCTGCAACTGCAGCAGCGTTGGCGTTGACTAAAACTTCTAGTTTGGCTGACGAGTTTGGAGAATTCAACCTTTTTGGGGGCTATTCTAGTCCAGCACCTGTTGGGGAGCAGGATGACTTTGCGGATTTTATGGCTTTCAGTAATAGCTCCATTTCAGCTGAGCAAAAGGCAGGTGACAAATTTGATGCCCTGAAAGAGGAAGCTGGTCCTGGTCCTCTCACCAGCAACTCGGGCAGCACAGGAAAGAGTGGACAGAACCCAAGTGTTGCGCCTACCAAGTACGATGTCTTCAAACAGCTGTCTCTGGAAGGCTCTGGACTAGGTGTGGAAGAACTCAAAGAGAGCACTCCTTCAGGAAAAAGTGACGATGACTTTGCTGACTTCCATTCCAACAAATTTTCTTCCATGAACTCAGACAAATCCCTTGGAGAAAAAGCCGTGGCCTTCAGACACACCAAGGAAGACTCTGCTTCTGTGAAGTCCTTGGATCTCCCTTCCATTGGTGGCAGCAGTGTTGGCAAGGAGGACTCTGAAGATGCACTCTCTGTTCAGTTTGACATGAAATTGGCTGATGTGGGAGGCGATCTTAAGCATGTCATGTCTGATAGCTCTTTGGACTTGCCAACAGTTAGTGGCCAGCATCCGCCTGCTGCAGGTGAGGAATTGGTGAGATTGCTCTGGTGATGGTGATGGTGATGGTGATGGTGATTTCAAAGGTGATTCTGTGGGTGCCACTTGACTGAACAGCAAGGCTGTGGCCTTTTCCCTTTGTGAATTTCTAATAATTAACCTCCGCATTGCCAGTCCCCATGGTCATTGCCAAGCAGTGTTAAATGTGGTTCGATGGCAACTTAGAATGGAGAGCGAAAATAGTATTTTTGGAATCTGACAGGCACTCGAAGACCTACTGCTAAACAAACTCACATTGCCAGAATTTTTATAAAGACCTTTTCAGCGTCAGCAATGTTTCTCCATTGCTGTGAGTGAGGCCAATGTTTCCCCTCATTTTTCTTGTTGAGTTTATTTGGCAGCTGCCAATCTAGGAGTCGGTTTGGTTTACAAAACAGGTTCTTGTGCCAAGAAAGTAAAACTTGCTAACCAGTCGTCCTGCAGTTTGCCGGGTTCCTCAAGAGAAGAGGGAAAGAGTTTGTACGTGGGTGTCCTGTATGCCAGAGTGTGGCAAGGAGGAGGGCATGTGTTGGTATTGTCAATAGAATCCAGGTACTGTTTTTAGTGTTAACTCTTATTACTGGAAGTATTAAGTGATAACAAATCTCTAGATGCTAGAATAAGTAGCTACTAACTTTCTGACAAAATATTTGAAAACTGACTACAAACACCTTATAGGGAGCCCTCTTTAAATTCGGTGTGGATTTACATGTAGTCCAACTTCCTGTCCTAAAAACTCGATTCCCAAGTGTCCTAGGTTTTTTGTTTCATTTGCTTTTTGATATGTAATATAGAGAGATAAACCTATTTTGTGGCCTTTAATAATGAGAACTATCTCAGCATTACTGTAGTATTCTAGAAGATGTATTATGCATATGGAGGTTTTTGGGATTGACCCTGCAAGTTGACAGACAAGGCAGAAATTGCAAAGGGTTCAAGCATTTAATGCATGTATTGGACTGGTAAATCGGAAAGCAAGATTGCGCCCATCCTTTGGCTGTTGAGATGTAGGCGGTCTGCTCACACAGGGTGCTGGATCAGGAACCAGGCAGCAGAGCCCAAGTGCATATCAGGTTGCTACAGGCTAAGGTGTGTTCTGAGTGCAGTGGGCTGGAGAAAGAGACCTTGGTGTCCTTGACTGTTGACCTTCATTTTCTGTACTCTGCTCAGATGGTTCTTCTATTTTTGTTGCTGCTGCTCTTTGTTTGTTAGAGTGGTTTTATTGGGTTTTCTTTTTGGTACGAGCTGCTTGAGCCACAACCATCGGTTACAGTGCTCAAGTTTCTAGTAATATTCTGTGCATTTTATTTAGATTTTTCATAACATGTATAACCAGCCATTTTGAACTCTGGAGTTATGAAGTAAAGTCTATTTTTCTGAAAGTGCATCTGTATTCTCTTACAGTGCCAAGTTAGATGTCTGTATGAGAGAACTCGAACCCCGGTTTGGGGTTTGTTTTTATTTGGGTAGGGGGGATCAGTTTATTTATTTATTTTTAACTGTGCTTGTGCTGACTGACCTGTTACAAAGAATCTTCTGTGCTCATGTTCTTGTGTGTGTGTGTTTGGGACACTCGCAGCTTTGACCCTGTAATGTTGCAGCCAAGTCTCTTCGGTTTGAGGATATTCTTAAATGCGGATTGTTTCCTCCCTTGATCTGTAAACCGATGTCGGAAAGGAGCAGTATCCCTTTAGAGCGGTTGTTCAAGGGGTTGATATCTGACCGATACGCTCCATCGTTGCACAGAATTGCTGCACCATCTATTGTAGAAGACGAACGACAGCTCTCTGTCCCTTTGGTTCTACGTAACCCCACGTGCACCACAGTATCTCGTGCTCTCTCCGTTTGAGGGTTAAAGATACTTCTAGTGGAGAAATAAGAGGTAGACTCTGAAGAGAGACTAAGACCTAGTAGAAACCCTAACTTAACTCTGAAGGGGATACTGTCTCTTTTAACTCTTGCTACAATTCTTTGTATGGAAGGTAGATACTACTAATAACATTGCCTGATTTCTTTGCATATTATTATGTTTAACCCTTTGAGCCCTTGCTGCACATCATTTCCACTTGGCTGGCTGCCGCCTCCCCCAACACCCTAAATTTAATCACCCTGGCACGGAAGCACCTCGTTGTGCCATCATTAAGATAATCTAGTTGGGTTGGCAGTAAGAGTTTGCCCCTCATTTGTGCCATTCTCAAAGGGTTAGCAAGACTTCAGTAGTCACCTCCCTACCTACCAACCTGTAAAGTGGCTCTTCTATGACATTGAAAATCTTTGTATTTTATTAATCAGCGCCTGGTTTGTTTATTTATTTTGGCTGCTTTCAGGTGCCTTTTTTTTTTGTTTGTTTAGACTTTTTGTTTTCTGTGTGAATGTGCCTTTCACACTTGCTTTAGTATATCCCTCTGCAAATACTGATCTGCATGCTTACCGATTACTTCTTTTCCAGCTCTTCTGTACCACTCTCTTGTGATCTGTAAGTCCTGTGTTAATAAATACTTCTTTGGCATATTTTGAAAGTGTGGGGATGTGTGTAATTTGTACTTTTCCAGGGTTAGACCAAAGAAATGCCTGGTTCAGACCAAGTTGAAAGCAGGTGTTTTTCCTGAGACTTGGGTGTTTTTGGCTTTTTGTTTCCTTAAACACTTTGTTCCTCAGACAGTATTAGTACACTTTAATCTTCGTTTCTCTTATAATTCCATTGGTGTAAGTTTTTAACATGGCCCTGGAATGTGTAATATAACTTTCAGTGTTTGAAAGGTAAGGTAACCTTACACTATTTTAATGGAAGAGAGAGAGAAAACTGACTGAATTTCTAAGTTGATTTCATTCACAGAGCCTTCCTGTGCTCGGAGTTCAATGGTGACAAGAAGGGATGGGTCAAGAGAAAGACATGAATTGAAGGTTGGGGAAAGAGGAACACAATGATGTGTTAATAACTAGATATCAATAAATTTCATTTAAAATAAATCATCAAATAGTATTGAGATGCCCAAAGGGACCTCGAGACATTCATGGAAAAAGTGCTATCTTTTCATTCCATTTTCCCAAGAGTTCTTTGAAGCCCCTTGTACTTCTGATCACAGTAAATATAAACTGAATTTAAATGGAGAATTTCTGTATGTGTTCACTGTCAATGCCTAGGAAAATCTGCAGGGCTGAGTTTAAAATCAGGCAGTACCCCCGTTCCTGACGGCAGAGCACACCATCTGTCAGACTGTAAAGTGCATTATGAAGCCATCAGCAAGTCTTGTTTTTTTTACTGATATCCAGAAAGCAAGCTCTTACAATGGCCTTAAGGAATAGACAAAGCCAGGTTAAAAACATTTTCCATTTTTGAGAAAACATTTTTTAAAAGGATCAATAAAGTTAGCAACAAACAGGGCAGGGAGTTTTTCATCTTAGAGAAGAAGAATTGGGGCAACATTAGGAACATTACTGTTTTCCAGGTCAGAACCCTTATGCCAATAAGAACTATGAAAAAGGGCTATTTCCATGGTTTAACATTTTTATTGCTATTTTTTTAAAAATCATCTTGTTGGGGTTCCTATATTTTAAGGTTTTGGTTCGTTGTTCTTTTTTTACAATATGAAGATTAAACCAAGTGATTCCTGAGTGATCAGTTAGAGTGTATAAAATAGTGTTTTGAGGGAAAAGAAGTATGTTATGTTAAGGTAACTCTAAGAAAAGTTAGGCTTGCCATTCAGAATGCCGTGTTTCCCAGAGTGTGAGGCTTGGTTTCAAAAATCTTATGTAAATGCATTATGCTGCAAGTATGATGTGTGCTGCTAACAAATATGAAAAAAAAAGTTTTAATGTAGTTTCTATCTAATGATAATGCTACATCCCCTTTAATTAGAATGCTCTGGTGCTATGTGTAAAACCATCCTTTTGATTGCTTTGTCTAAAGAATTTTTCACAAATGGAATTTTCTAATGCTGGCTAGGACCATCAGAGAGTGCCATATTTTAACTCATGACTATGTTTAAAACATACATTCACTAACTGAGCAATAGATATTTCCTCAGTAACATATTTCTTTTCGGGGGAGATTGCTTTAAAAATAATATAAACCTTTTTTGTTTCAATAAAGACTTGAAGGACTCTGCTACAGGTTTAAATCAACAAACAAATGCTATGTTTATGTTACCCCGGTGCCAACTAAGACCTGCTTAGTACTTGATTTCCTACATCAGTGTCTGAGAAATGATACATTTGTTGTTGTTGTTATCAGGTGCCATCGAGTCAGTCCCAACCTAAAGTACATCAGAATACAACACAACCTGCCGCTCTGTGCCACCCTCACAGCTGTCTCTGTCATTTGAGCCCATTGTTCAGCCCTGTGTCCATCTGTCTTGTTGAGGGTCTCCTTGTTCATTGACCAGCCATGCTGTCCCTCTTCGGGGACTGGTCCCTCCTGGTAACATATTCAAAATACGGGAGAGACAGAGTCTCGCCGTTCTCGCTTGTACACAGATGTGTTAGTCCTTCTACAGCAGTCGTTGGATGTGCAATATTTTTTGCCAACACCCTATTTCAAAGGCGTCGATTCTGCTCTTACTGCCGCTGTTCACATGCATGTGTGGCGTTTGGAAAGACCAGGGCTTGGGTCCTTCCCGCAACAGATGTGCTCAGAGCAATATGTTTTTTATTTCCTGACTGCTCCCTCTGCGGGCGTTGATTGTGGTGGAGCCTAGTAAAATCCTTCACAACTGCAATTCTTTCTACGTTTATCATGATATGTCTGTTGGTCCAGTTGTGAGGGTTTTGTTTTCTTTACATTGCATTGTAGTCCAGACTGAAGGCTGTAGTGTTTGATAATCATCAGTAAGTACCCCCCCCTTTTTACTGCCAGGGGGCAAGATTGTGTCATCCGCATATCTCAGGTTGTTAATGGATCTTCCTTCAACCTAAATGCCGAATTCTTCATATAATCCAGCTGTTGCTTTGATGATTTGCTCAGATACTATATTTGTTCAGCTTGAA